TAGACCTATTAATATCATATTCAACTATTAACAGATATCTTAACTAGACCTATTAATATTATACTCACTTATTAACAGCTATTTTCCGTAGACTATCTGGACATCTACTTAACTTATCCAGTGTTTTAACTATGCTGGCAAAGCTGGGTCTGTAGGAACGTTCTTTCTGCCAACAGTCCAACATTAGCTGGTGAAGAGCTTCTGGACAGTCCTGAAGAATTAAACACTAGTGTTTACATGATTTCAATTAACATACTGAAGAGTTAAACAGTAGCGTTTACCTGATTTCATTTGACATACTGAAGAGTTAATCGCAGTGATCACCTTTTCTAACTTAACATACCAAAAAATCAAATAGTAGCATTTAGCTAAAAAGTTAAATTACTTAACATGACTTAACATAACGTAATTTATAAGTTTTGATGTATAAGTTATGTACTTAATTTACAAATGGATTATAATAACTTAGAAGTGAAAGCAAAGAACAATGTGTACGGTGTACACATTGAATAACAATGTATATTTGCCGTATCCAGTGCCTAGGAAGCTTTTATTTTCATCGAATACAAGAGCTCATCAGGGCCACTTGGATACAACAGACACTGTAGTGGTATGGCTATTTACACCATCAATTGTATGTCATCTGGCTAGATGAAATATTACTTGTTGTGAAATAAGAAGATGCTTAACAAGAAATTACCATTGGTGCTGAGAGCCTATAACCTTTCTCAATATTCTTGATAACATCCTGATTGGACCAGTTCCAGTATGGACGTTCTCCGTAAGACATCACCTCCCAGCACACTATGCCAAAACTCCACACATCACTGGCGGACGTAAACTTTCTAAATGCGATTGCTTCCGGAGCAGTCCATCGCACAGGAATCTTTCCACCCTTGAGTTGGTTGAAGAACGAAATTATCAGTGCACTAAAAACTAAAATAATAGCACAATCCAAAAAATGGGTCTCACTTTAACATATACTATGTTGGCCACGTCATTGAATACACATACACTTTTAATGGTGAGGAACAAACATGGACGCAAGCTGTATTTGACTAGTCAAACCAACTTGACTTCAAAAGCTTCTGCAAAAAGTTTAAGAAGGTTTCACAAGACATTCCAGTATTATAAAATTATGGTTGTGTATGCTCTTTCTCAACCAGCAGTCTGACCAATGTATTGTTGTTGTAGTACTTACCCTGGTTGTATAGTCCCCTTTTGTGACTCTCTATCTCTCTAGACAATCCAAAGTCGGCAATCTTACAGACTCTATGGCCTATACAACCAGGGTAAGTACTACAACAACCCCCTTCTGTGGCACATTCTATCTCTCTAGACAGTCCAAAATCAGCAATCTTACAGACTAAATTGTTGTTGACCAACACATTTCTTGCTGCTAGGTCCTACAAAATTAATGAAACGTTATTCCAACTATATATATTTTTTTTTCTTCTATATTCACATCCCTTATGATTACTACCAGCTGGGTTATGATTTGATTATAAACCATATAATACATAAATGTGTCAGCATCAGCTTAATGGCAGATCTGTTTTCTATATTTTATATTTAGTTTATGTCAATCTTGGACAATTAAATGGAAGTACCAATAAACAGTCTGTAAACAGTTTATTGAGCAGATTTTTTAGTTAACATAAATCCTAAACAATTAATTGTAAGCAACAATATCGAATCAGTAAAACTTTTATTGTGCAATTCTTTATTTGATCGAGATTCTGAACTATTAGACATAAGTAACAATATCCAATCTGTAAACAGTGACATATAAACATTGCTTGCATTATTGTCTCTCAATATAAACAATATTGTTAAACAATGTGTAATGATTGTCCTGTAAGGAAGAAATCTCTGGATATGTTCAGAGTTACAACAATCACACAAAAGAAGATTTTATATAAAGCCACACTTTTTATAATTATTTAGAAGATTAATAACTCATACCCTGTGGATGTAATTAATATCTGACAAGTACTGCATTCCTGATGCAATTCCTCTGAGCATTCCAACCAACTGGACAGCTTGGAACTTTCCATCATTAGCCTGAAAGTATCGAAATTCTCTTTAATTATAAATGTAATCAACAAAATATGAAAACACTCTTAAATCTTGGATGTTTTTCATGATTTATATGAACAAAAAAAGGGTGGTAATTAGGCTAAGCATTTGTTGCCATATTTCTCAGGTTAGTTTGTTGTGTCGGTGGTAATTAGGCTATACATCTGTGGACATATTTCTCAGGTTAGTATTTTTTTGTGGGTGGTAATCAGGCTATACATCTGTGGACATATTTCTCAAGTTAGTTTGTTGTGTCGGTGGTAATTAGGCTACACATTTCTGGTCAGTATTAGCCATATTTCTCAGGTTAGTTTGTTGTGTGTGGACATATTTCTCAGGTTAGTTTGTTGTGTGGGTGGTAATTAGGCTAAGCATTTGTTGAAGATGTATAGCCTAATTACCACCGACACAACAAACTAACCTGAGAAATATGTCCACAGATGTATAGCCTAATTACCACCCACACAACAAACTAACCTGAGAAATATGTCCAAAGATGTATAGCCTGATTACCACTGACACAACAATGTAACATGAGGAATTTATCCACAGCTGTATAGCCTGATTACCACTGACACAACAGTGTAACATGAGGAATTTATCCACAGCTGTATAGCCTGATTACCACTGACACAACAATGTAACATGAGGAATTTATCCACAGCTGTATAGCCTGATTACCACTGACACAACAATGTAACATGAGGAATTTATCCACAGCTGTATAGCCTGATTACGACTGACACAACAATGTAACATGAGGAATTTATCCAAAGATGTATAGCCTGATTACCACTGACACAAT